TTGCAAGAGGTGGCTTTGAGGTAGATAGAGGGTTAATTAACGTGCGGGGGAGGGGTGTGTGCGCGCGCGTGCGCACGCGCATGTGCACTTGCCCCATCCCTGCCATGGGCACTTACTGCTTTTGGGGTTGTAGAAAGCGAAATTCCTGGGAGCAACTGGCATATCCAACCCCCCATCCTCATCCTCGTTCTCTTCCAGCACGCGGCCGCCGACCACCACCAGCACCTCCTCCAGCTTCTGCGGTGGGGTTAGGGGGTTCTTCTGGGCACTGGCATCACTCTGCCCCTGATGGAGAGGCCGGGGCAGGACCATCAGGCTCCGAGCTGAGCCTCCAGCCCTTGGCTTAGGGGTTGGGATTTGGGGCAGGGGGTACCCACTGTGGCACGAGATCGGGCGACGAGGGCCTTGCTGGCATCTGAGTCACGGATGAGGGGCTCGGTGGCAAGCAGGTTCTGCAGGTACTGGTCAGGCAGCAAGACGAGGTGGGCCAGCTCCAGCAGCTCAGGCAGGAACTGGGCTCGGGACCCTGGGTCGTGGCGTACCCAGCGCAGCACAGCCTCAGCCAGGCTCTGCTCTTCCTGCACCTGCAGCTGGTCATTGGAGAGGTAGATGGTCAACCTCTCCTTGGAGAGCTGGAGAAACTCCTCCTGCTGAGAGACGGCTTCAAAGTTCTCCTGCAAGAAAGACCAGGCCTTGGAGGAGACCTCAGGGCAGCCGTGGCTCTCACCAAACTCGCAGATACCTAGGCAGTTGGTGGCATCCATCTGCTGCCGGAGGTAGCGGCTGCAGACTTTCTGGATAGTGGGAAAGTGGAGCTGACTAGAGGTCCGCATCAACCCCTCCACGTTGCCCTGGTTGATGGTGACCTTCCCCGTGTAGGCAAAGTCAAGCAGCATCTCCAGCGCTCCAGGGTCCACCTCCTTCAGCTCCACCCGTGCTGCGATGCTCTCGGCAAAATCACCGGAGAACATGGCGTGGAAGTAGTGGCTGCAGAGGGCCAGGACGCCTCGATGGCAAGGGAATT